CCTCTAGACTCTAGAAGGGACCCCACAGCAAACCTGCTAGAGCCCTCGCCCTGCAGAGGAGGCCTAACCCCCTGCCCGGTGGCAGTGCCCCTTCGCCATCACCTGTGTTCAGCTTTGATGCTCTCTCTCTCGAGCCCAGCCTGCTCCCATCCTGCCCACCCCGGCTGGGTCGGGAACTCTTCCTCTGGACTCCCCAGCCCCTGTGCCTCCTGCTGTCTTGGATGGTACGTGTGTCCCTGTCTTGCTCCCTGGCTCCTGGCCCTGTGCTTGGCCCACTGCAGATGGTCAGGCCTCAGGGTCCCGTTGGGTTGCTTATCAAACCCTTTCCCATCCATCTCCTAAAATAAGTAGTCCCCAGAGTGCTCACTTGGGAATGAATTCTGATACCTACTCCCATGAAAGCTTACTTCATTTTATTTTATCTTATCCTTTTATTTTACTTTATTTTTTGAGTCAGAGTCTCACTCTGTTGCCCAGGTTGGAGTGCAGTGGCACGCTCACGGCCACCACAGCCTCGACCTGCTGGGCTCAGGTGATCCTTCCACCTCAATCTTCAAAGTAGCTGGAACTACAGGCGTGTGCCACTATGCCCAGCTAATTTTTTGATTTATTGTAGAGACGAGGTCTTGCCATGTTGCCCAGGCTGGTCTCGAACCCATGGGCTCAAGCAGTCTTCTCACTTCCGCCTCCCAAAGTGCTGGGACTACAGGTGTGAACCACCATGCCTGGCTGAAAGCTTACTTTATTCTTATTTTTTATTTTTTAAAGCTTACTTTAAACAAGCATGTTTTTGGTGATTTCAGAGATCATAGTGTAATCATTAAAAGTGAGGGATGCTGAGCATGGGGGCTCACATGTGTATTCTCAGCACTTTGGGAGGCGGAGGTGAAAGGATTGGCTGAGCCCAGGGGTTTGAGACCAGGCCGGGCAACTTGATGAGACCTCGTCTCTACAGTAAATCAAAACAATTAGCTGGGTGTGGTGGTGCGTGCCTGTAGTTCCAGCTACTCAAGCGGCTGAGGAGGAAGGATCACCTGAACTCAGCAAGTCAAGGCTGTGGTGTCTGTGACTGTACCACTGTACTCCAGCCAGGGCAATAGAGTGAGACTCTGACTCAAAAAAAAAAAAAAAAAAACCAGAAGGAAAGAAAAAGAAAGAAAAAAAGAAAAGAAAGAGGTAAAACAAAAAGGTGAGGAGTTTGGAACTAGACCGCCTGGGTTCAAGTTTGGCTCTGCCTCTTAATGGCTCTGTGACCTTGGTCAATTACTTAATCCTTCTGAGCCTTAGTTCTTTCACCTTTAAACTGGGGCTCGGCTGGGTGTGGTGGCTCATGCCTATAATCCCAGCACTTTGGGAGGTGGAGGTGAGGGGATTGCCTGAGCCCACGGTTTTGAGGCCAGCCTGGGCAACTTGGAGAGACCTCATGTCTACAATAAATCAAAAAATTAGTTGGGTGTGGTGGCATGTGCCTGTAGTTCCGACTACTTGGAAGACTGAGGCGGAAGGATCGCCTGAGCCCAGTAGGTTGAGGCTGCAGTGGCCAGGAACATGCCACTGCACTCCAGCCTGGGCAACAGAGTGAGACTCCAACTCAAAAAACAAACAAACAAACAAACAAAAAACTGGGACTCCCCACAACTACCCCAGAGTTGTGAGAATTCAGTGAGGTGTTACTATTTTTTTTTTTTTTTTGAGTGTTTGGCAAAGGGCAGCCATTGCTGCTACTGTTACTATTATTGTTGTTGTTATTTGTTATTTGCAGTCCAACCAGCACATGTTCTGCTGCTGTGCAGGGGAAGAGCCCCCTCCCAGGAGCCACCAGGCCTTGTGTCCAGTTCAGATTCTCTTCCTCACTTGTTATGTGACCTTGGGAAAATGAGTGCCCAGTTCTAGGTCTTGGTTTTCCCATCTGTACAAGGTGTATATCCTCCAGGGGGAATGGACATAGCTGCTATTGTATAGTTAACAAAGACAGCAGCCAGGCATAGTGGTTTACGCTTATAATCTCAGCACTTTGGGAGGCCGAAGTGAGAAGATTGCCTGAACCCAAGGGTTCGAGACCAGCCTGGGCAACTTGGTGAGACCTCATCTCTACTGTAAATCAAAAAATTAGCCAGGGTCCCCCTCCCACTGTGGGAGCTTTTCTATCCTCTCAATGAATCCTGCTTTAAAAAAAAAATTAGCTGGACATGGTGGTGCATGCCTGTAGTTCCAGCTACTTGGAAGACTGAAGCGGAAGGATAGCTTGAGCCTAGTAGGTTGATGCTGGGGTGGCCATGAGCATGCCACTGCACTCCAGCCTGGGTGACGGAGTGAGACTTCAACTCAAAAAAAAAAAAAAAAAAGACAGCAAGATATACATCCCCAGCAGCAGCCAAAATGGGGGAAGCATGGCTGTCACAGCCTGTGAATGTGCGCAAAATGGGCGTCTTCTAATTAACTGTCCACCTCCGCCTCCTGGTTTATGGTCCTACATAACCCTTGTGGTTGATGACTGCATATTCACATCTTAGCGTTCTTGTTGGTTGCCTCCTTCCCCAGGTGTTTGTGTGTGTGTGTGCTGCGTGTGTGTGTGTGTGTGTGTGTGTGTGTGTGTGTGTGTGTGAGTGTGCTGGGGGCTGGGGAGGAGGCACGGCTTCAGGAAGCTCTGCCCAGCATGGAATCACCCTCCCTTTCCTCAGCATGGAGGTGGGTGTGTGTGTGGAGGCTTGTGGTCCAGGAGGCACGGACTGGACCCATTTATTTGTTTCTGGGTCTCCACAGGGCCAGACTCACAGGCAGTGCTCTGTAAACCTTGTGGAGGGGACGGCTCCAGGGGTTCTGCCAGCGGACTCTGACCTAGGTTGTGTGTGTGTGTGTGTGTGTGTGTGTGTGTGTGTGTTGGAGAGGGGGCGTGGCCTCGAGAAGGCGGGTCCAGCAGGGAAGCCGCCCTCCTTCCCCCCCAGCATGGAGGTGGGCGTGTGCGTGGAGGCCTATCGCCAGGAGGCCGAGACCCAGCGGCGACACATCAACAGTGCCTTCATGACCTTCGTGGTCCTGAACGCAGACGACCAGCCCCAGCTGCTGCCCTGGATTCGGCCCCAGCCTGGGGTGAGTGAGGGTAGTGCCCCGCCCCCAGCAGCTCCCCTACCCTCCCTCTCTGCCCAGGAATGGTGGGGTCTACCAGCCCCCTGATAGGCCTGGGGGCATGAGGGGCTCAGTCCTGGCTTCTGCGGGGCACAGCCAGCTCTGAGGGGCCTGGTTGTGAGTCCCAGGGTGCCCTCGTGCAATATGGGCACCTTGTTCAGCCCGATGGAACTTGGAACATGAGTGTGGGTCTGGCTCGTGGTTGGGTATTAATGGGCTGTCACGAGCCTACAGGTTGGAAGAGCAGACACGGGTCGGAACCTCACCTCGGCCACATTTGAGTGAGTGGTCTCTGCGAGCTCTCAGTTCCCATCTGTGAAATGGGTATCTCTGCAGTCCCTGCTTCACCAGATATGGGACAGTATATGGGTGCTGGCTAAACCCTGGAAGCACTCAGTAAGCAGTGACTGTCAGGATGATAGTGACCGCAGAGCAAGGGACACAGGGATGAGAGTTAGGGGCCTGGGTTCAAAGGCCATCTCTTAAAAATTGCTCCCAGTGGCCAGGTGCAGTGTCTCACACCTGTAATCTTAGAACTTTGAAAGTCTAAACTGGGAGTATCGCTTGAGTCCAGGAGCTCGAGACTAACTTGGACAACATAGCAAGATCTCGTCACTACAAAAAAATAAAAACTAAAAAAGTAGCTGGGTGTAATGTCGTGTACCTGGCGTCCCAGCTATTTGGGAGGCTGAGGCAGGAGGATCATTTAAGTCCAGGAGGTTGATGCTGTGGTGAGCCATGATTGTGCCACTGCACTCCATCCTGGGTGACAAAGTGAGACCTTGACTCAAAATAAAGGAAAAAAAAATGCTCCCTGTGTCTCCTATGGGCCGGGCAGTGGCCTTGTAGACGCTGAGCCCTCTCTCAGGGAAGGTCCCCTGCCTGCCTCCCAGGGCCAAGCATGGGCTGTGAAGTTGGGCTGCCAAGAGTGGGTAGTGGGTGGTGGGTGGAAGGTGGGAGCTGGGAGCGGGGAGCCACTGCCAAGGCTGCTTCCCAGGTGCTGGTCGGGCCATGCTCGCAAGTGGGGGATGTTAGTGGTGGTGGTAAAGAGGCTGGGCTCAGTCTGGGCGTGGTGGCTCATGCCTATAATCCTAGCACTGCGGGAGGCTGAGGTGAGGAGATCGCTTGAGCCCACAGGTTCGAGACCAGCCTGGGCAAATTGGTGAGACACTCCTATCTCTACAATAAATCAGAAAATTAGCTGGGCCTGGTGGCCTGTGCCTGTAGTTCCAGCTACTTGGAAGGTTGAGGCAGAAGGATCATCTGAGTTCAGCAGGTTGAGGCTGCAGTGACTGATCATGCCACTGCACTCCAGCCTGGGTGATACAGTGAGACTTTGACAGAAAGAAAGAAAGAAAGAGAGAGAGAGAGAGAGAGAGAGAGAGAGAGAGAGAGAGAGAGAGAGAAGGAAGGAAGGAAGGAAGGAAGGAAGGAAGGAAGAAAGAAAGAAACTGGACTCAAGTCAGGTTACCCCATAACCTTGGGCAAGCCACTCATTCTGTGACTCAGTTTCCCCCTCTGTAGAATGGTCATAGCGCTAGCACCAATCTCAGAGGATTGTTGGAAGGATTGAGTGAAATTTTGCATGGAAAGCACTTGAGAAGCGTGGCTGGTATGCAGCAAGTGCTCAATAAATGTGAGCTCTTGTTACCACTGAGTGCCCTTTCAGGGTCTCCATTTTACAGAGGAGGAAACTGAGGTCTGGCGAGGGGAGCTGCTGTTCCCAAGGCCACTCAGAGAGTCTGAGGGGAGATGGGGCTGCAGGCCGGGATGTGACTCCAGCTGCCCCAGTGAGGCCTGAACTCCACTTTCAGGCTTGGGGCCTCCTGGGGCCCTGGGGTGTGGGGTGTTGGTCTTCCTTCCGGCAACACAGCAGGTTCCTACTTCCCCCCAGGACGGTGAGCGGCGGTACCGAGAGGCCAGCGCCAGGAAGAAGATTCGCCTGGACAGGCGAGTAGGGGCCGGGAGGTGGGAGGGGGACAGGTCCAAGATGGTCCACACTCTGCTGACCCCAGGGCACTTGAATTTCTTCGGGCCACCTGTGTGCTGGGCCCTTTGCACCCATGCAGTCTCTTGTTTTGTTCTCGTGATACGGGGTCCTATGGTCCATTGTACAGGTGAGGATGGAGGGGTTCGGTGGCTTGCTCGTGGGCATGCAGACAGGCGTCATCAGCAGAGTCAGAACTGGAAGCTGGCTGGATCCTGCGATTTTGAGTCTCGTATTCCTTCCGTTGACTCTAATTCCTGTTTGGCAGATGGAGAAAAAAGTTTGAGAGAGGAGGTGCAGTTGCTTAAGACAGTGTGTCTAGCTGGGCTCAGTGGCTCAGCCTGTAATCCCGTGCCTTGGGATGCTGAGGTGAGTGGATTGCCTGAGCCCGCGGGTTCGAGACCTGCCTGGGC